CCCCAGGGAAGCCAGGCTGTCTGACATGCCGCTACACAAACTTAGCCTAAACTTGCCGTTTATTCCCAAGTGGCTACTAAAGCTTCAGGACAGAGACTGGTGGCAGGAAGAAGGATCAGCCGTGGCAGAGAGAGACTCGTGGCTGGCCAGGGGCCACTGAAGTGGGGGGGGGGGGCCATGACAATTCGTCCCAGTCAACCAACCATGACCAACTTGCTGCAGGACAAGAGTTACATTAGTATCAAAGAAATGGTGGAATAGAATCATTAAAGAAAGTGCAAAAGGAGGGATAGAATGAAATGTGAATGGCAAAAATTAAAATCATTTCTATTTATTTTAAATAATTAAATAGAACTGTTAAATTGTCCCATCTTGTGGGTAATTGTCCTGCACCAGGTTGGCTGCAGTGAGTTGGTTGTGGCAAGTTGTCCCATTCCCTCTGGAGGGCGGGTGGTCCAAGGCCACCACTCTTACTAGGGGCTGGAGGAAGTTGGCACCCACCCTTCTCCTAGAAAAATGAAATATCCTGGGAAATATTGAAAAGGCAGAATATTCTATTTCCCTAGATCAGAAATGGGGAAACATGTTTTTAGGCAGGAAACAGTCTTACTCTTAATAGCCCCCACCTTTGTTAATGTTACTCTGCATAACGAAGATAGGATTAGCCTTCAACAGAAACTCACCACGTGGCAGTCTAGAGAGTTGCCCTTCCATGGCCTGACAGAAGTCTGGCAACCAATCAGAATACATTTCTTACACGGGAAAAGGAAAAAGAGAGGCGGGGCCGAACAGAGCGTATAAAAAACCCAGCAAGGCCCTTCTTTTATCTCTTTTCTTCTTCATCCAACATCTGGAAGCATCTGATCCCCCTTTTCTGTTCAGGACTCAAGCCATGTGGTCCTGTCCACCATTAAACCATATTTCCAAGCATCCTCCATGTTTCCAGTGTCTTTTTCCCCACTGAAACTGAACTGAACCCAGAAGGACATTTGTTCCAACAGGGCCATGTTTGAAATGTATTTCTCCGCTTTCAAAAGTGCTTGCCAGTTATGCAGATGATGAAACAATGGACAGCTGAAGACACCTTGATCACTGCCTTTATTGGAATGTGATTCTGGAGTCAATTGCGAGGGGAAAGCAAACTATCTGAGAAAGAGGGAAGGAGAAGACGGCCAAGGCATCTGCAGGTGCGTGAAGGAATTCCAGGAAGCAGGAACAGGGGTGGGAGGCAGGCAAGAGCCACAGGTGGGAATGCCTGAGAACATCCTTCTGGAATGAGGGGAGGAGCACGTGTGCCCATCTGCAGCATCTGAGCTGGAAGAGGCTGGAATTCCCACTCCGTCTTAAGCGCTGCAGGCATCCCCAATGATTTCCAAGGCAGGACAGGCAAAATCCAGTTGACTGCAGATCAGAGCCCTTCCTTGGCTGCTCAGGGAGCACAGCTGCTAGAAGGAAGGCTACTGTCCATGGCACCTTAAAATTTTAGAATACAACTGGAAGGTCTCCTGGCTCAAGCAGGAGAACCTCCTCTCCTCCCTAAGCAAAGCCTTCCAGATCAACACAGCAGAGCTGAGGAGGGACGAGAGAGGCAGCCTCACTGAGCCCTTGCTAACTTGAGGCGGGTGGGGGCCAGAGGACTATGGTCTTCACAGTGAGCAGGCGCTGGCGTGGGCAATACTTGGGTGATTTTCGGTAAAGGTTGCTTTTCCCATTCACCCTAGAGAGAAAATGGAGATTTTAAGGGTCTGGAGTCCAAGCTATCAATCACCTACAAAGCCAGGTGACAATATACCCCACCTTACTTGGAAAAGACAGATAAGCATTGACTTATATAGCTGCAGGGGCAGAAAGATCCCAACCTCACCCCTGGAACCTGGAGAAGCCCTTCCTGTAGTAACCATGAGAGTCCTAGTGGGTCCCACACTTCAGGAGGAGCCAGAGTCCGCTGCATCTGGCAAAAAAGCCAACACAGTCCTTGGCTGCCTTAACAGAGGGAGGGCATCAAGTTCGTGTGAAGGGGAACGCATCGCTTTATACTGCATTAGTGAGGCCACACTCCGAGGACGATATACAACCAAGTTGAAGGTCTTCCAGTCCTACGTCCTGCTCCGTGGCACGACAAAACCGTGCTCGACTAAAGCGCGCCCGATTAAACCGCGTCGCTGACGTCATCAACAGGGCGACAACAGCGAGCGCGGAGAAAGAAGAGCGCTTTAAATAGTGCTTTGAAAGCAAGCCGATTCAAGTTAAGGTAAGGGTTAGGTTTAGGATTAAGTTTAGGGTTAGGGTTAGGGAAGACTGCTATCACGTCACCCCGAGCTTTTCTCTTCGTTAGATTACCACACAGTTCCTTGGTTAGGGAATTGTTTTTTGCCTGATGGTCTGGTATCAATCCCTGCTTCTCTGGTCTACACCACAGAAGTCTACGCTTCTGATGTCATCGAGCCCTTGGTGACTCCTCCAAGGTGTCGGCTGTGGAGACAATTGGTTCTGATCTTTTTCTTTCTTAGCTTATTGTCTCTTTTGAAGGGTTTGTTTCTATGTCCATAGGTGGCTGATTTGTTCAAATGCCAAGCTTCCAGGGATTGATTGGGACCTCCAGGCTCCCACCCTTGGCCATGCCTCCTTCTCCGCCAGCCTCCCGCCATTTACAGCCAGTTTTCTTCCACCACTGGCCCTCCCCTAGTCATTCACCCTGGCCAATGGGCCTCCGCCCCGTACCCTTCGACCCGGCTCATTCATGGAGGCACTCTTTGTCCCGGATCTTTGGTTGCGCAGGACAGTTAGCCCCCAGCCAATCGGGTGGCAGGCGGAAACCGTGGTTCAAGATCACAGGGGCTCTGGGGCTCTGGAAGCAGTGCAGCAGCCAAACGGCAGAGACCTCAGGCGCTTGTTAGGGTAAGGAAGGGGAGGGAGGGAGGGAGGGAGATCACATCCTGCCCCCAGCCCCATGGAAGGCAGCAAGACGCTCATCTCTTAGAGGTCCTAGTGGTTTGGGTCTTAATTTGATCTAGGTCCAGGATGTTCATAAGTTTCCAGTGGACATGAACAGAGCCATAGTTCAGCCACAAACAAACAAACCGTCTCTCACACACAGACAGGAACTTCTCCCCCCTCCCTCCCTCCCTCCCTCTCATCAAGAGCCCATAGAAGCCCAGTCAAAAGGGATGGGCTTGTATGGGCAAGAGGCCAGATTCAGCCCCAATCCAAGGGATCAGCAGAGCTCTCCAGCCAACCATGCCCAAGGACGCCCTGAGGTTCCCCAGAGAGTCCTTCCTACCGGAAATCGGACAGCTGAGGATTTATTGCAGTGCATGGAAATTGGAGCAGAGTCATAAAGGGCTCTGAGGACTTCTCTGCTGAACAGGTTCCAAGAGACGGAAGAAAACTGCCTGGTGACTGAGGTGTCTGGGCATGTGCAGATGTCTTCATCGTTGAATCTACCAGAGGAGAGATGCTATGCATCAGGAACGGGAAAGTGGGGAAGGGGGAAGGGGTCCCAACAACGAGAGCCAAGAATACAGAAGGATTTTACAAAGGCTCTGCAGTTTCAGTCTAGTGGTGCGGGAGAGATAAGGAACACATCTTTCAAAGGACCTGCTTTAGAAAATTCAGTGTAAAAGAAGATGAGGGGGAAGAAGAGGCGGAAAGTAATAATGAAACAATCCCATTTAATGAAAACACAGTAAACTAATCCTACGTTGCATCCTCCTTTGTCCACAGGGAGTTTTCAAGTATAAAGTGGATATAAGAGCCACAGTGGCACAGCGGTTAGAGTGTAGGACTGCAGGCTCCTTCTGCTGACTGCCGGCTGACTGCAATTTGGCAGTTAAATGTCAACAGGCTCCAGGTTGACTCAGCCTCCCATCCTTCCAAGGTGGGTCAAATGAGGATCCAGATTGTTGGGGGCAAGAGGCTGACTCTGTAAACCACTTAGAGAGGGTTGTAAAGGACTGTAAAACGGCATATAAGTGCTATTGTAAGTAAGCCAATAGTAAATGCCATTGATATTGTTATTTACTATTTTGCACTCAGCTCTGCTTTTAATGGTATTCATATTTGTATAATTACGGATCACATCCTACCACGGTAGTCTTCCAGTTGGGTGGAAAGTTACGACAGACCCCCCCCCCCAAGTCCTGGCAAGTGTATGACTGCACAGACACTCCCCCCACCCACACCCTTGCTATCCCACAACTATGTTTTGAACATTTGACAACTGATTCATATTTATGGATGTTTGCAGCATCCTGCAATCAGGCAACTGTGAATTTTGGCATTTGGGGCTGGTTTCCACAGTGTTTACTTCTAGTGTATGGCAAAAAAATGCCCATTGGGTAAAATGGATTTGTTTAACATTTGCTTAACAACCGCTGCAAAAAAAGTTTACCAAACCAGGCTTAGTCTGTAACTTGCTTAACCACTGCCACAACTTACAACTGTAATTCCGGGCTCAATGACAGTCCCAAGGCCAGGACTGCAGAAGAACGTCACTGAATGTTCACCAAAAAAGACATATTGCTTAAAGAACACCATCGGTTGTGAATCCAACCGGTTCCGATTTTAGAAGCCTTCTGAGAAGAGTCCTGGGATAATGGGGGCCCTTTCCTCCTGCTTTTCAGCAGGCCCTCTTCCCTCTCTAGGCACCCAAATATGTTTTCTAAAGCCTCGGGGGGTGGGGGCAGAGAACCAGCAGCCTTTGCTCCAACGAGCCTCAGGATTCCCTGGTGAGGGAGCTGCCAGGATGAGGAGGGGGCTCCACAGCCTGTATGTAGCCCCCCTCCTGCTGAGCTGCTCCTCAGGGCAGCCCTCACTCCCTCCTCAGTCCGTAGTCAGAGAGACGTCCCGGCTGCCAACTCACCAAGGCTGATGAAGGCCTGGAAAAGAGCCCCTGGGGATCTTCTCTGTGCCCAGCCACCCTGCGCTCCTCTCTTGCCCTCTTGTTCACCACAGCAGAGCAGAGCAAGGGCCCCTGGAGAGAGACGTCCCGAGGAATCGCCCTTCTTCCCTTGGCAGCAGAGACCTCATCTTAAAAACATTGCCATCCCCACCTGGCATGCCCGGCTGCTGCTGCTGTCCCTGTTACCTGTCGTGTTACCTGTCCAGAAGCTGAAAATAGCGGTGCAGGTATCCCGGGTCGATGGCACTTTTGCACAGCTCCAGCTCCGTCTGGGGGTAGTAATGGACGTAGTTGACACACATCTCTTCCATGATTCCAAATCCTCCCTGCAGAAAAGGGAAGTAAAGCTCCTCAGCATCCCCCCCAGAAAGCCTTCCCAGTCCCTCCCCATTTTCCCTCCTCTGCCTCCATTTTGCCTGCTCCACAGTCGGGACTATGGACGCAAATCATTCCTGACTGTTATCCACTGATGCAAATTCCCTACCTGAGAGCATAATGATTTGTCTGCCTCCCCCCTTGCTGTTTGGCCAGCAAGGGGGGGGGGTGACATTGGCCAACTGGACAACAGAAGCCTACTCCCAATCTCTGGCAGTGCTGCCTTCCTCTTGGCTTGCACGGAAGCTTGAATACATGGAAGCTGCCAGGCTCCTTCCATGCATTCCCAGCAAAACACCCGAGTTTGGCAGGTGGCAGCAGGCACAGAGGTGGCTCTTCAGCCCTTCTGAGGGATCTCTGTGGCCTTGGACCAAAAGGCCTCCCTGCCTTTTGGCAAACTCCAGGGGCCCTTGCTCTGGTCTGCTGTGATGAACAAGAGTGCAAGAGAGGAGCGGAGGGTGGCCAGGCACAGAGAAGACCCCCAGGGGCTCTTTTCCAGGCCTTCAACAGCCTTGGTGAGTTGGCAGCCTTCTTGGGCTGGCCAGGGGGGTCTGGTGATGGGGAGCTCATGCAAAGCCTTTCCTATTATAACTTGTATAAATAAGCTGCTTCAATCGAATAACATTCTAATATGACCGCTCTCACTATCAGGAAATGTCTCCTTATTTCTAGATTGAATTTCTCCTAGTTCAGTTTCCATCCATTCTTCCTTCTCTGACCTTCGGGTGCTTGGAAGCTGAAGGTTAGAAGACTCCCTAATAGGAAGGTCAGTTGGAGAGGTGGGGGCTCCAATGGAGCAGACGGCCATTCTTCTGCAGGTGAACTGAAAGCCTTCCTTCAATTGCTGGTTTCTGACTTGAGTCTTGGGGCAGCATTTCAAAAGTAGCCCAGCCCAAAATTCCAGCCCAACTCACCACTGTCGTCTCATTCCTGTCTTCTGTGTTGTACATGCAGGTGGTTCTCAGCACATCGCCCTGCGACAGAAAGCAGGCATGCTACAGCTACAGGAGGGCATCTAAGGCAGGGGTCTCCAACCTTGACAACTTTAAGCTTTGCTGGCTGTGGAATTCTGGGAATTGAAGTCCACAAGTCTTAAAGTGTCCCAATTCTGTGCTGCCAGCTGTGTGTTGCTACTGCAGCTGCTGCTAATGGGGCTGCCCTTGTGACTCTCCTCCAGGGGTGCCCAGCGACTGAAGGTTATCCCAAAGGTACTTTTTTTCAAGAGGCAACTGGACTTTCTGTTTTTTTTCTTTGAAGACGTTTCACTTCTCATCCAAGAAGCTTCTTCAGCTCTGACCCGATGGTGGTGGGTTTATGTCCTCATAAACGCATGGCTCAACATAGGAGAACAAGCACATCAGGACTAGATTCAGCAGCCCATCTGCATTCAAAAGACAAAGCCCACTCTTTTGAAGGCAGCAAAGTCCACATTTTGGACAGAGAGGACCGCTGGTTTGAAGGAGGGGTCACAGAGGCCATCTCTGTCCAAACTCAACAGCCCTCTCTCTACAGAGGTGGGGGGGAGCGATACAACACCATCTATCTCCAGTTTACAACACGGTCCTTTCAGCAGTTCCAAGAAGGCTCCACACCCATTTGTACCACTCAGGTGACCCTGAGGACAGAGACAAGCCTCCAGGTGGCCTCAATGACCCCCTAAAAGGATGCAAATTGCCAGCTGTCTGCAAGGATATAAATATCCATAGATATCCCCACTATCCATTCCATTCCCCACCATCCAGCCAGAGCTGAAGAAGCTTCTTGGATGAGGAGCAAAACATCTTCAAAGAAAACAACCACAAAGTCCATTTGCCTTTTGAAAAAAGCACCTCTGGGACAGCTACGTCCTGGATGACTGAGGATCTCCATAGACATCTGTCCTCAAGGGAAGAGAACGGGGGCCGGGGGGGCGGAAGCATGGGGAGGGGGCAAAGCTTCCAGCCAGGCATTAGGTGAGCCAGGGAGGAAGACGGGGTGCCTGGCTGTTCCTCCCTGGCTGCTCTGGTCTGGCCAACTGCTCTGGCCAACCGTGCTCCCCTGCCCAGGGGGAAAGGGCTGCCTCAGTTCCACAAGGGGAGCTCTGAAAGAGGAGCCCATTCTGGTTCCTAGTTAGGCAATTCTAAGTCCCTCTCCCCCCCAAAGCAGAGCTGCGCTTGCTTACCGGGTAGACGGAGACCTCCTTCTTCAGCATGCGGATCTCCTAGAGAAAGATGTGGGGGGAGGAAAGGTTGGGAGTGTGTCAAAGAAGGGGAGGGCCAGGAATAAGATGCTGCTGCCTTCAAATTCTCAGTGTATTCAGCAGACCGATATCCTGACATAATCCTAAAAGATCCTTAGCATTTGACAAGCACCAACCAAAACAGCTGTTCTCTGGATGCATGGCATTGGACACACACACCCCCCGCCAAGTCCTGTCCCCTCCTCAAAAGCTCTGCTTCCTTGCTTTCTTTCACTGGAGACCAGATCAAGTTGGAGGCAGGGGGATGCCAACAAGAGGCCATTCCTTAATGCTGCCCCCCCCCCAGCAAAAATGCTTCTGGCCACCAGATTGAGGGATGCATAAGTGCCATCTGGAGCCCTGGCAGAAAGGAGCCATCACAGCCCCCAAATGCAGCTCCAGCTTCAGCCCAAAGTCCTCCCAGAGCATCTCCCTCCGAGGTGCACCAGGCCGACTTCCAACATGGCTCATCTCCCATCCTGAAACCAGAGCGACAGAGTGGCTTTGCTTTGGAGGAAGACCCCAACCCCTCATGGGAGATCCTGATCCACACAGCTCTGATCATGGGGTCTTGGCATCATCACGGCCAGCGTGGAGGCCCTGGCACAGGAGGGGCTCTAATGTATCAGGAGCTGCTTGCAAAGTAATAGTACAGCCCTTTCGACTTATCTACTGCTTCACAGTGCTTCCCAGCCCTCTCTAAGCAGTTTACAGAGTCGGCCTCTTGTCCTCAACAATCTGGGTCCTCATTTTACCTACCTCGGAAGGACAAAAGGCCGAGTCAACCTGGAGCCCGGTGAGACTTGAACTCCGAAATTGCAGACAGCAGAAATAGCCTGCAGGACTGCACTCTGATCAATGCGCCACCGAGGCTCAGCTGCAAAAATGGTCTTTGGCTTTTGATGTTCCTTTTATAATTTTGGTTTATAACAGATATCAATTGGGGGGGGGGGCCTTCACAAGCCTGGCCTGGTTTCCACGGCTGTCCTGATGCAATCTGTTTCTTTCTGCAACTCTCCTTTGCTGCCTGGCTTCCCAGCCTGCTCCCCTCCTGGCCCGCCTTGGCCTCCCCTGTGTCTCTTTTTCCCTTCTCAGCTCAGAAGCTGAGCACATGCTCCTCAGAAGACACAGAGCCCTCCCACAGGGTAAGGGGGAAGAAGGAGGAAGTAGATCAGCCCCTCCCGAAAAGCCACAAGGCAGCTCAGCTACTCTGCAGCAGCCCCAGTCGCCCTTCGGCCTTGGCACTGAGAAAAGGCACCATCCTGGGCCAGAGGAAAGAGAGACAGCACCTGTGGGGCAGATTCCCCAGGAGCTCTCTGGACAAAGGCCTGCTCAGAGCCATTGGGGGGGGAAGGCTTTTGCCCAGCAGAATGGCTGCTTTTTCTTAGAGGGGGGGGGGAATGGCAATGGCTGCTACTTTGAGGAGGGGGCTGAGTTTCTCTTCTACTTGCAGCAGAGACACATCCGTCACTGAGAGGGAAGACCACAATGCTTTCCCGTCCCCTGGGTACCTGGAAGTGAGGGCTGTAGTGCCTGTCCCTGTTGACAATTTCCCAGTCTCTCCCTTCGTGGGACAGCGTGGTCACCACGCTTCTCCCAGCCAGGTGGGTGTGGAGCTGAGAAGCAAAGATGTGGATCCCGTCAGGTGGCAAAGCCTGCAGGGAAGAGGAGGAAGATGAGCCCATTCCTTCACAGGGAGAACACTCCCCTGGGAGGGGATCGGTGGGGGGGAGGACCCTCGGAGGAAGGGGCATTGCAGGTGAAGACTCTGCCTGATGCCAGACCTGGTGGGCCCAGGGTGGGCTGCGGGCAAAGGCACAGCTGCAGCTTCCCAGAGTGCCCTTTAGGGAAAGCGCTAGGTTGCCCGCCGTTTGCTTCTCATCCGCTGAATGCAACCCAGGATCAGAAATGAGGTTTCAGCTCTGGATCTCTCCCCTCTCCCATTTTTCAGAGGGTCCTAGGAGGCACTGCAGCTGAGGGAACTGATACGCGAAGGGAGCCCTGGACTTTTAGGGTAGCCATAACCTGAGAAGGGGGCACTCAAATGGGGCTCCTGCCAGGCTCTGCTATGGGGGGGAAGACAGGGGTCCCCTCTCAGGTGTTCCCAGCTCCTCTGCAACTAGACAGGGGGGCTGGGGGGGGGATGCCACTGCTGCCTTGTGGATGGGAAGGAAGCGACCAGCGTTTCCATGTAAATTGGTCTTTTTAACCAATTGGGGAATTTGGACGTCATTCAGAATCAGACTGACTAAAAAGAATGGCTGGCCGGCCGGCCGGCAGGCAGGCAGGCCGGCAGGCAGGCAGGCAGGCAGGCAGGCCGGCAGGCAGGCAGGCAGGCAGGCAGGCAGGCAGGCAGGCAGGAAGGAAGGAAGGAAGGAAGGAAGGAAGGAAGGAAGGAAGGAAGGAAGGGGAAAAAGGGATGGAAGGAATGAAGGAAGGGGAGGCAGGCAGGAGGAAGAAAGGAAGGAAGGAAGGAAGGAAGAAAGGAAGGAAAGAAGGAAAAAGAAAGGGGATGGAAGGAATGAAGGAGGTGAGGCAGGCAGGAGGAAGGAAGGAAAGAAGGAAGAAGAAAGGGGATGGAAGGAATGAAGGAGGAGAGGCAGGCAGGAGGAAGGAAGGAAGGAAGGAAAGAAGGAAGGAAGGGAAAAGGGGATGGAAGGAAGGAAGGAGGGGGGAGGCAGGCAGGAGGAAGGAAAGAAGAAAGGGGATAGTTACTGGAAGTGCTGCAAGCCATGCCCCCCCCCAACAGCAACTTCTCCACTTTAAGAGGGAAGAGAAGGGACCCCTCCCACAGCCCAACATCTGCAAGGTTAGGAAGGCAGCCTAAGAAAACAGCAGAGGCCTTACCAGCTGGGTGCACTTGTCCGAGCAGTAGCCGGTGAGGAAGAAATGGCTTTCGCCAGGGGGAATTGCCATCACGGGCGTGTAGACCAGGCCCAGCTCCATGATCCCTGCATCATACTGTCGGAGGGAGGCCGTGTAATGGAGTCGGATTCCGGAGGAGTCGTGATGGCCTAGCAAGAAGCAAAGGGGAGGGGGGTGTTGCACAAAGACTGCTGAATAATGGGCACTGCCTTCCTTGCAAGAAGCACCCCAGCGGGGCCCAAGTTAAGTTATGGGCAGAATCCCAAGGGGTCAGCAGGATGGCATGGACAGTCTCTTTGATGTTGCTGAAGACCCCCCTGGAAAGAAGCACTCTACTCATAAAGGATCCCAGCAATGCCAGGCGACCTTGGCATCGGTGATGTCAGGCTCCCATTTGCCATCTGCCTCTCATGGTAGCTGGGACTGGGATAGGCTGTCTTGAGAAGAGACCGGGCCTTTCCTCTCCTTGAGTCTCCTGCTCTTCTTGTCTGGGGCCTGGAAATTACAGCAGCCCTTTTGCCCTGGGAGAGTGGGAGGATCTATAATGCCCTTCGGGTCCTGGCAGTGCCCATTGGCTGATCCCATATGCTAAACAATCTGCCCCTCCAGTCCTTTGGCAAATCCACTGCCCCATGGGAGTCCCCCCAGACCTAAGCCCAGCAAGGCCAGCCATGAGTTCCCTGAAGGACACCGAAGGCATTTCTTCAGGAAAGGGACTTCTTCTGTGCCTTCTCTGAAGATGGGATGGCGAGGTGGTCCTCCTGCCAACCTCTGACGTGCTCTGACGTCCGGCCAAAGGCTCACCAGACACAACTCTTGCCCAGAAAACAAAGGCTGAATCAGAGTGTTCGTTTGGGTTGAAGGGGAATTGCTTCCCTCCTTGTTTTCAGGGGGTGCCCCCCAGGACAGAGCTGTGGGAAGGTAAAAACAGAGGTCTCCTTGAAGCCCAAAAAGCCTCCTTCAAACCATCCCAGGAAGACAGGTACAAGCAGTAGAAAGTAGAGGGAAAGCCCCTCCCCCCCGGGCAGGTTCTGCCCTGAAAGAATCGCCAGGTTCTGCAATGAGACATCCAGCAGTCCTTCCAGGTCAAAGGAGGGAGGCCCTGGGCCTGGTTCCAGGATGGGCTTTTGGCAGGGAGAGCTCCACCAGGACCTCAAGTCCTCCTCATCATTGCTAACCATGGATTAGATTAGATTAGATTAACAGAGTTAGAAGGGACCTTGGAGGTCTTCTAGTTCAACCCTCCGCCCAAACAGGAGACCCTACACTATTTCTGACAGATGGCAGTCCAGTCTCTTCTTGAAAGCTTCCATGGATGAAGCTCCCACAACTTCTGTTCCATGGGTTGATTGCTCTCACTGTCAGGAAATTTCTCCTTATTTCCAGGTTGAATCTCTCCTTGGTCAGTTTCCATCCATTCTTCCTTGACTGGCCTTCAGATGCTTTGGAGAATAACTTGACCCCCCCCTCTCTGTGGCAGCCCATCAAATATTGGAAGACTGCTATCCTGTCTCCCCTGGTCCTTCTCTTCATTAGACCAGC